TTAGATCTTTAGTCTAAGGCCAAAGGGATTTAGGTTAAATTTGTTGTACGTTTCATTTCTTAAAACTTATTTCTTTTTTTTTATTTAGCTTAATTTAAGAGAGTTGGCACTGTATTTGTCTTACAGTTTGTTCAACATATGTTGCTCTCCAGTTGCAAAATAATAGCTAAATTTTTTTCCTGCGCAGTTGGAAAGTGGTGCAGAACAGGACTTGGATGCTCTGGACCAAACCCAGTCGGACTACCTCAGTGCTGCCAGTGACCTGGAGGACACTGACGGAGAGGCCTTCACCGATGGAGAGGCCTACACCGACAATGAGGACCTGGAGGAGGCTTACCCAGGTCAGAACGCTGCCTCTAGGTTAGCTGGAGCTGCTTTAGCCCGATCATCTGAGCCCGCCTTAGGGCACCACAGCCCCACCATGGACCCTGAGCTTCACGACGACACATACTCGCTCAGAGAAATCCCACCGTTGATGCACGTACCTGAGCCCAAGTCACTCCGCCGGGAGAGTTACAGCCCAAATCACAGCGATGCTGAGGAGGAAGAGCCCTCTCATCGTAGTTTTACAGACTCAGATTTCAGTACCCTTGATGTAATCGCTCCCACCACTCCATCAGAGGGACCCCCTGACTTTATAGCCCCCTCCCCGTTTACTCGCTACTCTGTGAATGAGCCTTCATATGCTGAGGTGCAGCCTGAGAGCCCACAACATGCCAGCCTGTCTGCTATTGAGGAGAAATTACAACAGGTAAATAAAATGTTGCTGTTATTTGAAGGCAAATACCTGTGTTTTTTATGTATTTGAGGCCATTTTTACCAGTAGTGAGCAGACAATACATTGATAGAAGTAACAATTTGTATAGTGATTTAAAGGTTTTAAGTATTTTTTTTAACCAAAGATTCCGAATATGACCTGGTTTTAGCTTCTCAAATGTCAGTAAACTAAATATACTTGATGTTTGCACTGTTGACTGGATAAAGCCAATAATTTAAATATGGCAAATTGACCACAAATGGTCAGAATAATCGATGATGAAATGATCGTTAGTTGCAGCCCCAGTGTACTTTACTTTACTGTGTGTGTACTGTGTATTATATATGCCGGTGGAATAACTTCAAAAATGTGTCTGTTGGCTACCAAACAGTAATTGTTTTTAATACAAAAAGCTACATTATCCTTTTCCTTTTTAATCTTGAAATCCTACTCTTAGATTTGAAAGTTGGATTTTCCCAACAGCAATTGAATGCACCAGCATTACAGCTCAAATATTAACATTATAGCAAATGTTTACTGTTTGGGCAAATGTTAAGTCTCTGTAAGTTGACTTTTCTAACCAGTGTGGCTGCCTGCAGGGTAATGAATATAACAATAACTGCTTTGGACAGCGGTCGTCAGCACTGTAAGGGAAATGTAACTTTAATTGGATGTAAAGATTCAGAAACACCAGTTTAGTCTAAATACGACCAAAGATTATCTATGAAACTAAGATCTGTGCTTGTTGTAATGTGTGTTTATTTAGTTTAAACCCATTTGTCATTGTTAAGAATCATAGAAATCAAAATAAGTCCTTCTCTTGTCTTCTCTTGTAGGCTCGCTCTGTAGAGCCAGAGCCAGAGCCACAGGCACAGGCACCACCTCAGGAGAGGAAGGGCCCTCAGTTCATTGTGTAAGTCCTCTTTTGCTGTCTTTGGGTTTTCTATATAAAGCCAGACTGAGGCTGGTGTGCTCATCTTGACCCCCTTCTGTCCTGCTCTGACTTTGACAGGCTGGCACATCATCACCAAGCAGTCCAGTACAGACGGACCCAGATCCGAGGCAGCGACAGCTCTGAGGATGACGAGGACGAGGCGGAGGACATTGAATGGGGTCCTGCAACAGAACTCTAGAGTCTGTGTCGAGGATTAAAGCTGGAGTCTACTGATCTCTACGAGGACACAGAAACTATCTCACTTCACCAAGAAACTCTTTTTGTAAATGTATTTTCTGTAGAAGCAGTTTTATCTCAAGATGTTGGTCGGCCATGTTCAGATATGTGATACTGGATATTCAAGATTTCTACAACCTTTTAACAGTCACTAAAAGTTTTAATATCTTAAGAAAGGTTCTTACATGCATGTTAAAATCAAAGTGCCTGATTTCTTTTCATATTTTTTTATTTAAATAACACCATGTCAAACAAATGCTTTGCCCTTATTACTGCTACTGTATGTAATAGACAAACAAGTTCTAGTTTTATTAGAAATTATACTAAATTAGTCTCTTTTCATAGAAATATGCAAGAACATTTATGAAATGTGTGGATGTTTCTATAACGTTTTCTACATTAAACAGTTTTCTTGATTTCAAAAGAGGGTTTGTTCAATCATACAAAAAGGCAAAAACATTAATGTCTTATTTTTATTAGATTTTTCTCAGAACTTCAGAATTTCCAGAAAGTAAAAACAACCATGATCCTTGATAATCACGGATATTAGCTAAATGTGTTATTATACACCACTAACATGCAATATAAACAGAAATATAAGGTGGCTTTTGCATTTTTATCTAATATCTTGTAAAGGAGCCCTGTGTCAAAACCCCTGATTAACACATTAATTGATGCTCACATGGAGCATTTTCTTAAATACACGTGTTTAATCAAATTATCACAAACTCTCAGTTCACGTCAAGTTTAAAATGTATTCTTTTCTTTCATTTCATCTCATTGGGCTTGATTGCCTCCGGTGGTCAGGGTGGAAAGGGGAGATAAATGTGTAAACACCAGTTTGATGTGGAACATTTCAAAGCCAGTAAATGTTCAAATAAAATGACATTTATTTTGTAGCTTTTAGTCAGTCCACTCCAAAAGACCAAAACATAACCACTGAATATTGTAGAAAGTATTAATCAATTATAAATACCTCATTCATAGCATTTATTTGTTTTACTGTGAAAAACATTTATATAAATTCATGTGATATGAATGCCCCCTTTGAAATGTCCAGAAGGTAGTTAAATATGTTTTATTATTGTATTTATTTATATAGTTTATTTTATATTATCAAGTGTTAAATTAAACGTTTCTTCCACTGAGGGTTTATCATTGGTGTCCTTCAAGTTAGATTTTCCATCATGAATGTCACCAGTTCAATCTGAGTCATTGTTTTTTTGTCATTGCACAGCTTTATTGGTAATTATGTACTGATTTTAAAGACGGGAAATTTAAACTACAAAAACTAAACAAGTGATTCAGTTTTTACAAATAGATCATATCCAGACGCTTATAACATTCACACCTTTACAGCCTTTTTGCGTCTCTGCCTGTAACTGAAGTCAGTGTAACAGTGTGGAAGTGATGGGCTGCAAGGTGAACGTCTCCACGTTTTAATTGTACGTCCGCAGCAGGTGCACGAGGAGGCGGAAGGTTTCGATGGAAAGCTTAAGGTCACCTGTTAGAAACGCACGTGTGTCAGGATGAAGTGATTACTGAGAATTTGAACAAGGCAGCGGCTCGTTCCTGTGCGTCAGGACGCATTTCACTCTCACTGCAAGTTACCGTGAATTCACGATGAAGCTGGATGTGTAGGACAAAGTGTCTCGAGTGTAATTTATCCGGAATTAATCTTCCCCAAAAAAAGTTAGTGAATGAGCCGCATTTGACCCGTGTGTGTCCCTCCTCCTCCTCCTCCTCCTCCTCCTCCTCCTCTCTGTCAGAGACCAGCAGAGTCCTCCTCTCATCAGAGACCAGAGTCGGGGACGCGGGGCGGTGCGCTCGGTGCACGCTCTCCAACAAAACAAACAAACTTTGATCAAACTGGATTTTATTTCTGATAAAGTTCCCTAAAGTGCTCATTAAAGGGGGGTCTGGGTTCTTCGGGTTCTGGGATTTACTCTGTGGTCCTCTGGTTGTCAGGGCGCGGAGGGGGAGCAGCAGGAGCCGGATCGAGGAGCCCATGCGGACCGGACTGACTTATCAATGAAGCAGGAGATCATGGCGGAGGGTCCCCGCTGCAAGAGGAGGAAGCAGGCCAACCCCCGGAGGAAGAACGGTAAGAGGGCACACACACAGACCCGCACCGAGCTGTCCCCGCCCGGGCGGGGAGGTCCCCGCTGCCTCAGAGTCCCCGGGACGCGACAAAGACCGCAAAAGTTCTTTAACGGGACTTTCTGGGTTCTGGGTTCTGGGAGGGGGGGCCGTGTGCAGGGTTCGGGCGTCGGTGTGTGAAAGAGAAAAGCCGGAACCCTCCGGGACCCGCCGGGACCCGGACCCGGTCTCAAAGCAGGAAAAACCGTTATCTGAGCTCCGCGTGAGGACCTGTGGATCCGGATCCGCGCGGCTCGTTCAGACCGCCACCAGCGCGCGCTCCACAACAACAATAAACAACCAAAAACAACAATAAACATCTTTAATTAATCAACACAATTATTATAAAAACGAGTTCAGTTCAAAACCACAAAAACATCAAATTATTAAAATGTTCTGTTTAATTACATTTTACTGTTTTTGTTTCTGTTTGTTTGTTTGTTTGTTGGAGCTCAGCAAACATCCTGTTGTTTCTTTTAGACTCACAAGCATTCATTTTAATTCACATTTAATTTGTATTCTTTTTGTCTCATTGAGAGGCTCAGTGTCTGTGTGTGTGTGTGTTTCACTGGGTGGATTTATTATTATCAGCTGTTTGAGCGCTCACACACTCACTGTAATTCTCCACAATAAAAGCTCCGAGCTCACACTCAAAATAAGTTTTAGGGCCTCATTAACACTCGGCTTTCATGCTGATTTAAAGGCACAATCCGTCATTTAAATGCAGACAAAAGAGGCAGAATTTAAAGCAGCGCCAGAGACGCTCTCGCGCTGTTTCACTCACTTTAATTAGAATAATATTAATTCCAGTAAAAATGTTAAAAAATAAAATT